TTTTTTTTTTTTTTTTTTTTTTTTTTTTTTACAGTTCTAATGTTGTTTAGTAATGAATGTAACAGTTTGAGAACTGTTTTTGGGAAGTCCTTCAGAATGTACTAGAACAGATTAAGAACATTTTTCAAAATAAAAGAGAAAAACATTATGTTCTAGGACAGATTGGGACTTGTAAGTGAGCATTAAATGAGACAAATTTTCATAGGGGCAGGCCTCCCCTCCGCCACTGCACCCCTCCACCCTCTAATGGCTCAATCCACAGGAAGAAGATTGATCAAAGAAAAAGTTATTACTGATATATACCATTTCAGTGAGCTTTAGAGGGATAACAACTCTTTGTATGAGATTCATATTTCATAATAAATACATTGTAAACAACTCATAGAATTATAATAAATTCTGTTTTACCACTAAAACTTTCCTAAGAGATGATCGCAAAAATTTCCCTGTTAAGTTTTAAGAAAAAAATCAGGGATTAATTTTGAATATTGAAATGGATTGGGAAGTATGGGAAAATGTCGTTTACCTAGGAAAATCCCTTTTTTTTCTTTCTTTCTTTTTTTTTTGCCAAATTGAAAAGTTGTTATCCCACTGATATATCAATATCCCAATGACTTTGCATGTTTTACTAGTGTGTGTGGGAAGACTGAGTGGGACAGTTAATTATTCTAGGAACTTAGATACAACAATTCCATGCCGTGCCCACTCTAAATTTTTTTGTGTGTGTTAGCTCCGAGGTTTTCTAATTGATTAGCTGCTCACTGAGCTTACTATATAGGAGGAAAGTAGGCTGTTAGGAAATTGGATTACATGTATAAGGATGGTCTTATTGGTGTGCTACACTATATCAATACTAAGACACTGTGGGCGCATTCAGATAGACACATCATACTATAGTTGGGTCTGTCCAAGTTGGGATTCTCACTAAGAGCAATCAGTGGAATCAGTGGAATTGGCTTGTCTGCCATGTACATCTCCTCAAGCAGCTAGGGGGTGATTAAGCAGAGCTTACAAAAAAGTTAATTACCCCCTAGCTGCTCAAAGAGGCTGTCATTTAGATAAACTCATTTTACTTAGCAAGAGACCCCACCACCCCCTTCCTCCCAGAGTTGGACCAACCCAACTAATATGATGTGTATATCTGAACGCTCCCTAAATCTGCCCATTTTTATGTACAGACACAGATGTGTCTGTACATATAGCCATCATCTGCGTCTGTCGTCGCCGTCGTCGTCGTCGTCGCCATCGCCGTCGCCGTGCACTTTTACCGATAACACGATAAGTGGAAAACCATTTTACCTTTTGACTTGAAACTTGTAGAACTGATGAATATTCATAATACGCAGGANGGTGTGACTTTAAAGTTCCATGATCTTGAAGACTTTTGCTTGTCACATTTTCTGAATGTCCATGTTACTAATATTTTATTAATAACATTTGATTGTC